AAAAAAAAAAAAAAAGAAAATGTGGTTTTATCATTTTGGAACATTTCAATCCCTCCCAATCGACCCAGAAATGAAGTGCTTGGGAAGGCCCTGAAGGGGACCCAGCAGCTGCGGACGGATGCTGCCATGACCATCTATAGCCAGGGAGGACGATTCTGTTCGCATGCGGATTCCGCTCAGGGGCATAGAGAATGGTGCGGCTGGCTACACAGAGCTCTGTGATCGGCAGTCCTGGAGACACACAGGTGTGCAGGCCTACAGCACTGCTTGGCTGCAACACTGGGTACACAAACACAAAGCCTATGCAGGAGACCTCAAGGGGCTTCCACATTAGCCAGGGAGGCAGGCGCAGAAGCCCAGCCCTTTGACATAGCAGGACAACTACTTAAGGAGGAAAAGAATGATGAGCATTTTGTAACTGACCTGGAGATTCAGAAAGGCTTCCCAGAGGAGATAGTACATAAGTTTTCTGAATGCTGAAAGGGAACTAGAAAAGCCAGGAGGAGGGGAATAGTACTCCAGAGGAGGGTGCACAGTCAACAAGGCTGGAAAACAAAGCCAGCCTGGGGGAGGTGAGAGGGGAGTGAACTACAAAGCTGGGTGACTCATCAGGAACCTGAGCAAGCGGCTGGAGCGAGGGGAGACGCAGAACATCGGTAAGAGCCTCGCATCCAGGGATATTCTCATGCCAAGGGGGAGTCACAGGTGAGTTTTAAGTACCAGTGTGATAGAGCCAGGTTCCTGATTTTTAAAATACGGATAGTATCTTAGTCCATTCTTCTTGCTGTAACAAAATAGCCTAACTGGGTGACAAATCAACAACAGAAATGATACATCGCAGTTCGGTAGCCTGGAAAGTCCAATATCAAAGCACCAGCTGACCCTGTGTGTAGGCAGGCCATCCTCCTCACAGATGGGGTGGAAGGGGCAAGGAGTCTCGCACATCTCTTTTATAAGGGCACCAAGGCCAATCATGAGGGCTCTGCCCCATAGCTAAACATCTCCCAGAGGTTCCAACTTCTATACCACAATCTTGGAAGTTAGGATTGCAACATGAATTTGGGAGGACACAAACATTCACCCCATAACAAACAAGGTGAGTTGGAAAATAATCCATCACATTCCCTCTGCCTGTCCTGTCTCAGAAAAGAAAGGAATAAAGGAACACGAAATTTGTGCCACGGTACTATGGACTAGAACTCATCCCTACAATGGGAAGCTCATCCTAGTGGCAATGTGCAGGATGGATTCAAACACAATAATGAGAAGAGCAACCTAGAAAGTCTAGTATGCTGCTTACTGTGTGTTAGGTGCTCTTTAAATACTCCTTACATATAAAGCCAACTGGGGCTGGGGGTTTAGCTCAGCAGCACAGCATCTGCCCGGCAAGTGCAAGGTCGAGTTCAAAACCAGGTACGGAGGGGGACCCAAAATAATAAAAATATAAAGCCAACCAGCACAATAACCCAACAAGGTTAGTACTTGTACTATCATCACAGACTAGGAAACTGAGACTCAGAGCAATTAAGTAAATCTTTAAAGGTTTACATTAACTTACACTAATAGTTAATGGCAGACTGAGATGTGAACTCCAGCGTCCTCACTCCCGACCACTCGATTCTTCCACCCCTCAACAATGGCAGAGAACATTCAGCTTTTGCTCTTGACACTAAATTGACTGTTTATTATCTGCTCTTCAAACACTGAACTGGCTGTCAGGAATGGTGGTGCACATCTACAATCCCACCACTCGGGAGGCTGAGGCAGGAGGATCACAGCAAGTTTGAGGTCAGCCTGAGCTACAAAGTGAGTTTAAGACCAGGCTGAACTACATGGCAAGACCATTTTTTCAAATAAAGGACCACAGTGCTCTATTTTCCCCTTGTGCCTGGTGCAATACCAACTTTGTTGGTAGGGGGTGCTGGAGGAACTAGAGCAGGAAGGGGCTTTCTTTGCTGGTGCTGCAGTATTCTTAGCAGGTTTCTGTAGTGAACATGGCTTCTCCAACTCCCAGTTCTTGCAATATAGGCAAATTTTCTAGCACACGGATCCACTGCCAAAGGGGAACAGTAGCACTTAGCAGTTCCTCCTAGTGTCTCCCACAGGTAGAGGAACCCCAGTGAGATACCTCCCATGACAACCTTTCCTGGCATCCTACGGGGAGTACTTTCAGAGCATCTCTCAGTCTTCTCTGCATTATGAACCACAGTCATGTCCCCTTCCTCAAGGTCTGGCTCTCAGCAGGGGATGAAGAATACAGAAGGATCTCCCTTGCATGCCCTCTCTCAGCCTTAGGAACAGCAGCTTCTCCTTGTATCTGCTATTCCTATGCTTGCAAGGGTTGTCTTCACTTCTTACTTACCACCCCTTCATTTCTCCAGTCCCATGCTACAGCTGACAAGTATTTAGATTAAACTTCTCATATTCTAACTGCTGTGTGGTTTCTCTCTCCTGATGGATTCCAACCAACACAGAAATAAGACGGGAGGCTGCCCCAGCATTCACACAGATAGTGATCCTGCCGGCCCTAGGGCCTGAGTTATAATACATTTCTCAGGTAAAGCTGGACAACTCTACCTCAGAACCATAAAGTCAAGAAGACTTTGGAAAATGAGGTTTCTGCAGTACTGAGGCCACGCTGACAACATGTAGCAGATCATTTCACATTGGGCTAAGCCAAGCTGGAGGAGCCTACAGGACATCTAGATGGGTAGCCACAGAAAGGAAGAGGTTGGAAATATGTAGCAGAAAGAGGTAAAAGAACTCTGACTGGAAGGAAATAAAGGGGCTGGACTGCACGTATGTGCAGCTATCAGCTTAGTAGGCTGTGGCATCCTTTCCCTTTGGGAGAAGCTATAGTCCACTTTCCAGGGTCCCTGACCACCGCTGCTTCTCACACCAAATCCCCTAGGCCCATCTTCTGACCAAGTCCTATGCTATGCATTCTTCACCATCTCTTACGCCAAGGTCCCGCTTGCCTTTCCCAGCAACCTCCGTTTTCCTGACATCTTGAAACTGCTTTGTGCAACAGATATAGTAAGTACTTTGCATATAAAAGAAAAGCCTCTTGATAATTTAGAAACTCTTTCACAGAAGTGTTGCAAAAAGCCTCCACCCTGTGACTTTTTCAAAGGGCTCTGAATCTCAGCATGACATTTTTCTTTAAAGTATTTTCAAACAATATCAATAAAAATATTCATGGAAGCCACAAGCTGGATTTATCTGATTATGGCAAACCCGCTTATATTGGACCAATCCTCCTGGTGACAGTTGCTGGGGTTTTTTTTCCCCTTAAATCCATTTGCATACATCATAGAGCTACCAAGGCAGTAAGGTCCTGGAGAGAAAAGTGGTGCAGAGAGAACAGATAAGGACTTTGGATACCTTCATGCCCACCAAGGCTTAAGCAGGGTCCAGGAAGCTAGAAAGCTGAGCAGGGCTTTCAGCAGTCTCAATGGGATAACAAAAGCTATAGGTTTAGGGGTCACCATGAAGGTGGGGTCCTGGTTAAAAGGTAATTTTTTAAAAATAGGTTTTCGACTAAAACCCCTGAAGAGTAAGAACTAACCAGAAATAGAGCAACACTCACAAAAACTTTAGTCCAGAACCGAGTTTATCTCAACCCTACTTTTCCCAGAAGTAAAAGTAAATCTTCTCTGAGAAGAAAAGGCAGCAAAAGTCCCCAAGGGTCTCCCAGCTCTCTCAAGGGAGATCCAGGGGGCAGCAATGGAGAAGAAAGTAAAGAGCAGGTGGCAGAGCTTTCTGAGAGGATTAAGGAACAGGGAAAGAAACTTAGTGAGTTCAAGCAGGACATAACTCAAAAGATGATGGAACTCTCATACAAACTGACCAGTGTGGATATGGAAGAATTAAATAATCATATTTTTGAAAATGGAAGAACTGACTAAAACAGTTCAACTTGCCACATTTGAACAACAAATTTACCAAAGAGATAGATTCCACCAAAAGGTATCAGACAGAAATATGGGAAATAAAAAGTTGCATAGAATTCAGAAATTGCAGAAACGACCAAGGCAAAGATAGGGTTTGTAAGATCAAGGACAAGAGGGTAAAACATGACGAATTACTCAGGAAAGGCTTAAAAACAGGAAGAGAACAAGAAAAATTCATTCAATAGCTACTAGATGATGCTAAGAAGACCAAGCTAAGGCTAGAAGTTAGAGGAAAATTAGAAGACAGCACACATGTGTTCTAAAAACACTTGGTGCCCTTCTAAAAAAAATCTGTTTATAGATACCATAATAGACTTTCCAAGTATGAGGGAAGATTTCCACACACAGGTAAGCCAGGCTTACCGAACACCAAATAAGCACGGTGATTCATGACACGCCTTTGTCAAAACCCTGGACATCCAACAAAAAGATAGAATCTTCCTGAATGTGTTTAAATTAAAAGAAATTATTAGAGTAAAAAATACATCACCATTAATCTCCCTCAAATCACTGCCTCAGATCTTCATCAAATCACTGTGCTGTGTAGCACAAAATGATCACATTCCTTGGGGTGTGTTGGCTCACATACATAACACATGCTAATTCTTTTTTATCCCCTTCCCCTCCTCTCCCTCATTTCTTGGTCCCCTCTCCATATGCAAAAGATCTGTCTCATTATTTCCTATTATGTATCTTTTATTTTGCTCATTATTTCTCAAATAAGAGAAACCATGTGATATATAAGCT